ACCTCATTTGCTGATGCAGATATACTTTTAAGTCATAAAACAAACAAACAAACAAAAGTCGTGGGAGATGAAGCTGCCTTACATCAATATCACACACCTGTTTCTTGCATGATCAAATGCTGTGGGTGACAGAGATGCCCATTAGCTTGTACATATAGATAGAATCCAGAGCTTATTTGGTCTGTTAAGAGCTGACATCATGCCATTTGTTTTTGTACAATAATACTTAATAAAGACAGTGAACCACTAATTATAAATATGCTGGAATATATTTAGAATTATCTAAAGGTATAGACACATAATCTACAGATATTTTACTTCATGAATGATAGCTAATGGTGTTTATTCTATGCGCTCATTTGGTAGGGTGGAATGTCATTTACATACTCTCTGCCTAGGTTCCTTACTCAAAAAAGAAAACCTCTCCAGAAACCAAGCAAAGTGTTTTAGGTCCAACTAAACAAGAGCTGGTAGCCTTTCCCTTGCAAGAGTGTTCTGCCTTTGTGCCTCTGAATAAAAGGATAATTGTATCATCTCTAATTTTGATACTCAATTTAGATTTGAAAGCTAAGCAATATAAATTTTAATTCTTATCTGGGATATTTTTATTATTTCTGCTTAGATAACTTCTGACAAAATTGGTGCATTTCTCTTTTCAAAATGTATTTGTGTTCCTCACTAATGGGAAAGCAGAAGATATTTTTAGTGTCATCTTTCATCAAGTCAGATCATTCTGAAGACCTTACTGAATTCTATTTCCATGGGAATTTTGCTAATGGATACGTGCAACATTATCCAAGTTCTGGTGGATAAGCTTACAAATTAAAAATGAAAAGGAATAGAAAATTGATCTTTCTCAAGACGTTGGCAGAATACTTTGCCATGTTTTCAGATCAAGTACAGAACATCTAAGTTTGGTATACTAATGCATAAGATTAGCCCAGACAATAGAAATAATCAATTTTCTAAGTGGAGTTTTAGCTGCAATCTTACATGTAGAAGACAGGAGAGGGAGAGAAGGGATCTTCCAGTCTCCATCTGTCTGGTTAACAACTTTAGTGACATCAGTGGGTTTTACAGGAAAATGGAAGGTTGAAGGTATATTTCAAAACAAGCCACCCAGTTTTAGTGTTTGTATACTAACTTCCTGATTCGTCTTATAATGTAATAAATAACAACTACACACTCCTAAATAGCATGTTGTAGGAATGTGTAAAACAGGGGCTACTCGGTGTTTATCCAGGACCTATGTACCCAAATTATCGAGCTCTGGGCACCTTCTTTTCTTGCACTATATTCTTTTCTGGGCAGTGACTCCTAAGTTTGTCTCTCTTACCTGGCTGTCTTTTCCAGACTTACTTCTGTATTTTCTGGGTGATCTCTGCATTCCTGAGCCCTTGTCTGGAGTATGCATTGATTCAGCTTCTGAATCTGCTGCCTTTGTATCGCTGATTTCAATTCTGTCCCTCTAACATCTCTTCGCAGCTAACTGACAGCTGCTCTTCATCTCTCTATTCCTTTATGACCTCCTGACAGTCATGAGGCTGTTTCTTCTGCCTACAAACTGTTCAGCCCATGACAGCGCTTGAGTTCATACGGGGGGGGTGCACAAATGGACACAGTACTCCATGATGTTTCCACACACCTGTGAGCCTCTGCCTGTGCTGTGTTCTCATCAAACCTGAGCTACTGCTGGGCCCATGCGTCCAAAAAGGCTGCTCTCCTTTGGTGACGGGACAGCCATTCAGTCTCTGGTAACGTGGTAGACAGGACACAGCTGGAGAGTCCCTCATCGAATTTCAGTCCAACATCATTTCTATTATTTTCCTCACAAACCCATCGTTATAGTTGATGGCACTGAGATGACAGAGTTGAGTTTCAGCATTTTCCCCTCCTCTCCCAGCAGAGATGCTAGTGAACCATGATTTGACTCAAAAGCCAGAAGGATAAAAAGTGGAGGAACAGATGTTATGCATCCAGTTACCCCAAAATCCTAACTCTTGAGTTCTCCTTGAACATAAATGCTTTTGTTTCTTCTTGGTTGGGTCAGGATAGCTACCAGTTTGTATGGAAATTAAAACGGAGAGACATCATTTGAAAGCTTCCTCCCTTCATGGGCAGAACTTCCATAGAGTGAAAAGAGAGCTTGGCCTACTCTGGTATGACAAGCAAACTTGAGCTTTCTAGCTGTGCCTCCGGCATCACTAGAAGCACGGTTTCCTCCTTGAGACTTGCTGGGCACAGGATAGCTTTTGATCATAGGAACTGCAGCACCAGTGACAATGGAGGACAAAGCCACCGAAGTTCCCAAGCTTAGAAAGACCACACTCTGTTTTCCTTACTTGGTAAAGTATTTCCGTGATGTCTGGATTCTGTGGAATTTCTGTCAGAACATGACAGTGTATGGAACTGCCCAGGCCGGCAGTCCTTTGTGCTTTGTCTTAGACATTGAAGCTCAATTCCTACTGCTCTACAAACCAGCTTGTCACCATTGACATAACATTTGCCAGGTCCATGTTCTCTATGGTCTCCTCTAAGCCACATAATGGATGGGAAGTGACGGTGGCAATACGTATTGGGAGTTAGCCTGGGCACAGACACAGGTTCTCTGCATGTCTTACTTCAGGCATCAGTGTTGTTGTGTCTATGTCTAAACGTTTCAGTAAAGCAAGACAATAAAATTTTATGTTCACATGCCCATACATGTACTTAGATTTAAGTTTTGTTTTGTTTTTAAAAGAGAGGGCTGGAATGATCCTGAGCAATAGAACACTGACTGTTCTTCCAGGGTACCCAGCTTAAATTCCCTGCAGTCACCTGGCATTTAACAGCTGTCTGGTACTCCAGTTCCAGGAGCTCAGACACTTTCTTCTGTCCTCCAGAGACACCAGACATGCGTGTGGTACATGGTTGTATATCCAGGCAAAACATTCAGATATATAATCTTTAAATTTTTAAATGGGACATAAAATATACCATCTTAGCCACTTTGAATACACAGTTGGAATTGTTCTTGCTGTAAAATGATATCCAGATCCCTTTCACCTGCACATCTGAATCTCTATACGTATTTTTATAAAGAAAATACTATCCCCACACACCTCAGTAATCTCCATTACTGGAACTGAGCTCCTCTGAGAGCAGCCGAGCCATCTCTCCGGCTTCTAGCTTTAATTTTTGGAAGACCCTTCTTGCTCTTTTTAAGGTTTTTATTCTTGATAAAAACCGTGTGCAGGGGAGGTATGCACACGGGTGCAGGCACCCTTAGAGGCTGCGAGACGTCATTGTCTGCTGGAGCTGGAGTTACAGGCAGTTGTGACTCACCTACAGTGGGAGCCACACTCAGAACCTCTGGAAGCGCCAGTGCTCCTGAGTGCTGCACCACCTCTCCAGCCCCAGACTTTCCTGTGGCAGTCGTACCGCTTCGTAATCTCGCCACTGGTGTGCTCTTCTCGTGTCCTTTACTGAATTTTTTTCAATAATACTTATTCCCGGGGTATGCACTAATGCATCTAGGGTTCTTATAGGTGTACTCGTCTGTGTTTTGATTGTTTGGGGCCTTTGTAGAGGAAGGAGGGCTTCAGACTTCCTAGTATTCCACACACCATCACAATTCAGTCTGCTTCGTTACTCCTTCTCTTAGTGTAGCGTTTCAGGAGACACCACCCTAAAACAGAGCAAAGCAAAACAGCCTAACTTAGTGCTGGCTTTAGGGTTATGTAAATATATTAGTCACATAGTTGTTTTCTATTATTTCCTCGTGGGTTTTGATGTAGAACTGTGAGGGTAACCCCTTTCTAACTTCAGAGAGAATATAATTGTGTCACTATCCCATGCTGGCTAGACTTTCACATGTTTAATAATGTGTGCCAATTATCTGAATAATTTGTCTAATCCAGTTCTTGACATTCATACTTTACACCATTCCTAAAGGATTGGGCTACACAGGTGATGGGTTTCCCATTCGCTAAGTCCGAAGTGTGTAAGAGAGAAAATGAGGAACTGTACAAGTTGGTCCTGTGTGCTTGGGCTTCATGAAGAGGGGACGCTGTTTCTGAGCACAGCCCCACTGACCTAAGAGTTAGCTGGAGATAACTCGGCTTGAAAACTTTGACTTTGTTATAATAGACCATTGAATGAGACTTTTCACAAGAACAACACGGAAGCTAAGAATTGAGTTAATGCTGTGAAATTGACCAGAGTTAAGTACCATAACTAATGTCGTCTACAGCAGCTTCCCGCTGCTGCAGTCATGATGCTCACTCTGTATCATGAGGGAAGAGCAGAGGGAGCACCATGAGTGGCGGACTCTTAGCATTCTGCCATTGTTTTCACTTCCTCAGAAGAACCTTGGCTGAAGTAAGCGCATCCTAGCAGTATTTTGCAGATGGATTGGTGCTTCAGCTGGGTAGGTTACAGATGCACTGGACAGGGATCCACCCAGCCACATCACTGTAGATAGTGTTTCTCTGCAGCACCCAGAATGGTTTTACCAAAGCATATGAGGTGAATCTAAGAGGACTAAGTCCTAGTTTTGAAACTGTCCTGTTAACTGTTGGCATGTGCTGCACTTGTACATTAAGGAAGGCAGCAGTCTTAGCAGGTTAAGATGGTAGCTGTCAGGGTGGTACTTGGAGGCAGAGGCTGGGCCCATGTGAGCCATTAGATGAGTTCAATCAGATACACCACCTCCACTGTCTGCATAGTGGTATTTACTAGATTTTAAATGGACTGCCGAGAAAGATGAGATATAATCTCATGTATTATCCCTGTCCTGAAAAAAAAGGTAATTAAATTTTTCTCTTGCTAGCATATATTTTATTAACCTTTGTTGAGTCATTGTCCCTGTAGAGTTGAAACCTTTCATTCAGGTCCAATGTTACCAAATGACTTTGTGAGCTCTAGGAATCCCATATTCCTGGGCTAGCTGGAGAGTGGAAAATGCAATGTAAATTTCATACAACTGAATTATTTTTCCCCCTTGTTTTTCTTCTTTACAGAACCTGGAGAAGGTTCTAGTGGAATTCAATCACAAGGAGCTGTTCGATTTCTACAACAAGGTCTGTGTTTTTTTAATGTTTTCTGATATGTAGATATTTCCCAATACTTCCTGGTTTTATAAATGTTTTTTATTTTTGAATGCCTTACTATATGGTCAAATTCTTCAAACTCCTGTAAACGCCTTGTGTCTTCAGTAACGTCCTAGGCAGAACCAAGATAAAGAGAATCTGAAAACTAGACCACAAAGAAAATGGGATGATTTTAATTCAGTATTCAGGGTTAGTGCTCCCTGAAAACTGAGCAGGGCACTGTGCCCCCATAGCCACCGTCATCAGTTACAGGTCCCTGAAGTACTTCAGTGGCTGGGCCCAAGGTTAGAAGGAAGCTGCCAGATTTTAATGATCCATCTTTTATTTGTATTTCATTTTTCTTTCCAAATACTGATTTTTGTACCCCAGGAAAATGCATTCCAGTAACTACCAAACTTTAAAGTCTGACCATGTGGTGATAATTTACTAAGAAATGGCTGAGTGCACTTAAGACAGTAATACTTAGAAGTCTTCCTTCTTCATAAATGTAAAGAATTAAATGACAAGCCTAAATCCTAACTCTTTACATAGCTAGAAAGGCGGCCTGAGTGTTACCATGGCGTCCGGTGTGTGGAGTGCCTGCTGCCATTGCCCCCTTGGGTTTGTGTGTTTCTGAACGTTTTACGTGGTTTGTTCCCTTCACTAACCTGCGTCTTTATTTTTGTCTTTCTAATAGCTAGAGACCATACAAGCACAGCTGGATTCCCTTGCATGATGATCTTGAAGACCAGCTTCTCTGTCCCGTTCCTGCCACCTCGCTCTTTTGCACTGAAGAGAAACTGCCCGAGTATATTTCTGAGAGGACTCAGTGACTTTATTTTAATATGACTTACCACTTCTTAAACAAATACCAGCAAAGGGAGATCACAATAAGGGCACTGGGGTTCCTGGTTTACCCTTTCTCCTCACTCGAGCCAAGAACCATTGTTGAGAAGACTGAAAGAAATTAAAAGTGAACGCCACACTGCTCTTTCTGTCAGGTTGCTGCCTCATGACTTTGCCTCAATCTTGCTTTCATGGATCAATGGAGGTCTGTAGGCAGAAGGTATGATGTGAGCCCTAGCAGAGCATGGATCCTTATAATTGCATTACTTAATTAGGGAGGCAGCCCCAGGACATCAAGTGTTTTGACATTTGTCTTCTTTTGCTTGCGATATAATACAAGAAGGAAATCTACAATGGTGCCAGTACTATTATAAGTTAATTCCAATGTGATCCTCTTGCTCTACTCGCTTGAATTTTTCTGATTTTAATGATTTAATAATCATCTAGGTTTATATATACTATTGTGAATTAATAACAGTGCACTTTACAGTATGGAGACAGATTTAAACCGTGAATGAGATCACCCATAATTGAGTACTACATGGGAATCTGATATTTTAAATCAGAAACTGCATTCTCTTGTGGATACATTAAGTTAATAGTGTCAGTCAATAAAAATTTCTAGTTTACCATTACTTAAGCACAAGTGTACAGTATTTTTATTTCATAATATATTTCCTGGAAAAAAAGTACTTGAAATTTTTATCAATGAAGTGCCTTACCTTGTTTCCAGGGGAAGGAAAGAGAGGCTGGGACATAGCCCTCTTCCAGGAAGGAATGCGATTTCAGACTGTCCTGTACTTAGGCAAACAAAGCAGTTAGAGCTGAGCACATTTCTGACGTGAGTGTTGGATAATACAGTGTTCACCTAGCTCCAGTTGGTGTTCACTGAAGCACAGATCCCCATACTTGTTTGTGCAAGAGTGCTATCGCTTAGAATCGGAAGCTGGGGTCATTGCGGACAGCAAACGTTACAGCTCTTTCCGTAACTAATGGATCCTAAGGGTTCTAGAGCTCCGGCTTCCGTTGCAGTACAGCTCAGTGCAGGGTATAGTGTAATGCATTGCACTTCTTTCTATGACCCATGGGGTCGCTCCTACTCTCTTTTTCGTTAGACGATGTTTTAGTTAGGGTTTCTGAGCTGTGACAACATCATGACCAAAGGCAACTTGGGAAAGATGGAGGTTATTTCAGCTTGTAGCCCTCAGGTCACACTCCATCACTGAAGGAAACCAGGGTAGGTACTCATGGCAGGAGCCTGCAGGCAGGATCTGAAGCAGAGATCATCAAGGGATGCTGCTTATGGGTAGCTCTCATGGCTTGCTCAGCCTGTTTTCCTATACAACTGAGGCCACCTACCCAGGGTAAGCACCACTCACAGTGAGCTGGGCCCTCCCACACCAGTCACGACTTAAGAAAATGTTCCACAACTGGAGGCATTTTCTCAAATGGAAGACCCTCTTCCCAGTGAGTCTAGCTTGATTGAGACAAGTGATTTCACTGTTGTCTTCATTCGGGTTTTTGTTGTTGTGGTAAAACACCAGGACTGAAAAGCAATGCGGGGAGCAAAGCGTTTATTTCAGCCCACACGTCCCCATCACAGTCCATCATTGAAGGTCAGGGCGGGCCCTCATTAGGACTCCATGGAGGATGACTACTTGCTTTGTCTCCATGGCTGGCTTGGCCTGCTTTCTTCTGCCGACCCAGTGAGCTGGGTCCTTCCACATCAACCATCAATCAGGAAAACGTCCTACAGACTTGTCTACAGGCCAGTCCCATGGGGCATTTTCTTCATTAAGATTCCCCTTTCCTGGCTTGCATGACGTTAACACAAAAACTGCCCGCACAACTGAGTTGCACAAGATGGCCACAGTCTCCTCGGCTGGGGAATCCTGCTTCAACCTGCCCAAAAAGCCGGAACTGTGAACATGTCCTCCTTGCCCAGCAGCTTCCTCGTGCCTTTATTATGCTCTGTCTGACCAGTTTCCAAAGACGCTTGGAGTCCCAAAAGTACTATAAAATTGTGTGTGTGTGTGTGTGTGTGTGTGTGTGTGTGTGTGTGTGTGTGTGTGAAAATTCTTTAGATTTCTTTACATGAACAGTCTCAGGTTGAATTTGTTTGACCTTCTCAACAGTGACCATATAGAAATTTTTATTGGTTTAATGGCCAAGTTGAATTTCCAGTGTGTAAAGTATAATAAATAGAAATAAAGATTTCTAAAAGTAGCTCATTTTTTGTTCTCTAAAAAAATAAAAATCTATACAAAAGCATGATAAGCAATATCCTCTCCATTAGCCTGATTCAACATAGTCTCATTCAAATACAGTAAAGAAAATATGTGGTGGCTTAATTCCAACAAGGCTGTGGTGATAAAAGAACAGATTGGCTCCTGCCTGCTCAGTTCACAGATACATGGTCATGCGCCTTGTAACAGGCTGGTTAATGACAGACCACATATACAATAGACTGTATTGTATCATTGCTTGGGTATGCAGTGGGCTAGACCATGTAGGTTTGTGTAAGTACATTTCTACATGCCCAATGCTGGAATTGCCTGATGATACATTTCTCAGAGCATATTCTCATCATGAAACACTTAGGGGTTTACTAGAAAGAGAGTTGCTCATGAGCATAAGGAGTAAGAACCTTCTGCGAAGTTTACAGTGCTCCTGTATTTGTTTTAAGTTAGGAAATATCTAAAATTCATAAAGAACCAGTGTAACCCGTGGAGTCTCATCATTCAGAAATGACCATTAATGGCATTTTAGGAGGGTTTCACTTTTTAAATTTCCTATTCCTACATCTCTCTTATTCATTTTCTTTCCTTCCTAATTGAGGTTAGGCTATACTTTATTTTTTATGTCATATTATCACTTGGGCATTTTCCTCTCTTTATTGTCCAGAACATAAATTTAATAAATTACCACTTGAATAAGCTAAATTTCCATTGTTAAACACTTAGATTATCTCCACCTTTAAAAATGTTAATAAGGAACACCGTAACCTAGTGTGCCGGACCACGTCTCTCTTTATGGTGTTGCCAGAGATTCCTAGAAGTGAGATCGCTGTTGCAAGAGTATGAAGATGTAATTCTGGTTTTATCTTTAAAGCTAATATCAAACTAATAATTTCCCATTAAGGACAAAAATAGAGAACTGTTCCATTTTGCCATTTCAAACTCTACAAGTATCCTTTTTATTTTTTTATTTATTAATTGAGAATTTCATAACATATAGTTTGGTCATATTCTCCTGCCACACGTTCTCTTAAATCTATCTCCCATCCACTCAACTTCATGTTCTTTCTCTCATAAAAGAAAAAAAACATGCTAAAAAGGCACAAACGCGGAGTCGGATCTGTGCCCGTCCCCCTTCCTTCTCGTGCTGGCATTTTGTCCGCGTCCCCCTTCCTTCTCGTGCTGGCATTTTGTCCGGCTTGCCCTCGCGCGGGCCTTGTTCATGCTGTCACCGTCTCCTTCTGTTCACATGTGCACCAGCCCTGTAGTGTGTGGAAACGCTGTTCCCTAGGAGTTATCCACACCTCGGTTTTTCCACCTCCTCTTCCACACAGATCCCTGAGCTTTGACGGGAGGGCTTTGATAAGCACGTTCCTCTAAGACCAGTCTTCAAGTCTCCTACTTTGCACACTGTCCATCTGTGGGTGTCTATTAACTCCCATCCACTGCAAGAAGAAGCTTCTGGGGGTTGAGCGCCAGGGTGATCTACGGTAGCAGCATGCCGTTGGAATTCACTGTACTGCTGCGCTCCGCTAGCAGAATACCAGCAGTAAGTTTAGAAGTGCCTGTTTAATTGTGAAAAACACGTTGGCTTCTATGTTTTCAGGCAGGTAAATACATACAAGAATATTTTAAATGAATTCATGTTTGTGCATGACTTCTGATACATGTTGCTAAGTTGTTTCCCTAAACAGTGATGTTAGTGTTTGTGCTCCCTCCATCAATGAATAAGAATTCACACACCCTAATCCTTTCTATCAGCTTTTCCTCCCCATCCTTAACATTCCTCTTCCCTGGGAATTATAGTTCATGTCCGTCAAGGGACTAAAGAAGGAAACACTGCTTCCTGGTAAAAATACGTTGTGTTTGGAAATCCAGGACTGAAGAAGAAAAAAACTTTGTTTTTAAATCAGCAGATGTCTGCAGCACAGTAAGTATAAGGGCATTGGGGTCAGATGTTTATTTTCTTAATACATATTCACTGAATAACGTGCCTCCAAGAACTCTGCATACATAGCCACTGTGTTAACCATGATGAGCAGAACAAGCACAGTCCCTACACTTGAAAGAGTGTGAAGGTCAGTAACGTAGACAAGCATGCAGTAAACCAACAAGCGTGAGGGACGTGTAATTGGAGTCTATCAAGGAGAACTTCAGCACGGAACCAAACCTGGGGCTGCGGGTTTCAGGAAGAGCTCCCTGGGGAGTGAGACTTGAGCTGAGTTCTGTTGGATAAGAAATAATAACAGAATGGAATTGGAGAGAAAAGCATTCCAGACAGATTGTTTCATGCAACAGACACCCTCGAGGTTAAAAAGACTTATTAGTGTATCTCAAGGACCAAGAGATCTGTATGGCTAGAGTATGCTAGATAGTGGAACCAGGGGAGCTGCTACAGTTGGTGAGCTAGATGGCTGTCAGTCCCCCAGCACAGGCTGTCATGTCTATGATCCAAACATAGTACAAATACATTTCTAGGTCTCTACCGTGTCCAAGCCACCACCGTCTTTGCCCTTAGACTAGCCAGCATCCACTCCAGCTAGCCTTCAGTTCAGGCTTCATTCAGGGCTAATTAAACAGTAATCCTACTAATTATACTATTTCCCTGCTTAAAATCCTTCAAAGGGTCCCATTATACATCAAACAAAATGTAATGACCTGGCCCCTCAGCCGTATCCTAGTTCATGTTTGCTGTGCATGTAAGTATTAAACAAAGTGCAGTTTGCTAGAGATCATTTTTCTTAGATTCTTAATAGGAATAATAACCTAAACAATAACAATATTTTAAGGATTAAGTGAGATACTTTGTGTTAAACATTTCATCTAAAGTCTGATTCCTGTAATCACAGGAAAGTGTTAGCAGTATTCTTACAACTCTTGAGAAAATAAGCTTCTTATTGAGAGGGTTCCAGTTGAGCTTGAGTTAATGTCGAAATTGCTAGCAACTTATGGAAGCCTTTCTCTGACTTTATTCAAAGTTCTAATAACAACTCCAGTTACCACAATGATAAGCTATCCCTTCTTAATTTTCTATTGTCAAACTATTGTGTTATGTACATGATAGCACCAGAATAATAAACATGTTTTTGTTTGTTTGATGAGTATATTTCCACATGGTCCTTCTGGCTTTAAGAAATCTTTCCTCTCAGGCTGGGGAGATGACTCAGTGGGTAAATGTACTTGTTGCTCGAGCTGGTAACCTGAGTTTAAGTTTCCAGAGCACACATGAAAGACATAGAGTTCAAGCATCTGTGATCTCTGTATCCTATGAGGGAGATGGAATATGGGCACAAGAGCGTCCCTGGAAACAGCCTAACTAGTCTAGCATATGCAGTGGAAACAAGACAGAAGGCTAGGACCAGCACCTGAGCTTTGCCTTGAACCACACAAGCACCATCACATA